TTCTTTCCCTTCCTCCTCTATGTATACATATACACGCAGCCCTTTGAAAAGGGGACCATACCACATAGATTGGTCTGCATTTTGCTTTTACCACTTGACTTTCTTTTGTGCTGGTAGGACTGATCAACCTCATTATTCAAAGACCACATAATGTTCTGTTATTAAGGATACGCCTTAACTTGCTTAACCATTTTTCTATTGATGTAATTTGGGTTTTTTGTTAACATTTTGCTATTGCTAATTATGCTGCAATGAACATCCGTTCAAAACTTACGCAAATATTTCCAGAGTGGGATCACCAAGGTCAAACAATATGTATATTTAAAATTTGACAGGTATTACAAAAACGCTTTCCATTTAAATGGTGTAAAATTTACTCTCCCGCTGATGCGGGCTTGGCGAGCCGAGGAGTGGAAACAAAGATTTCTTGGACTCTCAAGGTCTGACAGTAGTGCTCTTTTATTTAGAGAATAGCGTGGAGTAGCAGGGGGACAGGACTCATGGGCAGTAAAGAGCTGCAAACATGAGTCGAGGGTAGGGCTAAATTTAAGGCATAGGTATGTGAGTTACCTCTTTAAAAGACAAAGGAAAGATTATGTGAAAATGTCATTAAAATGGTATCAGTGCAGGTGGGGTCTGGTTATCGGGTGGTCCTATAACTTTAGATGAGAGTCAGATCAGATGAGATCAGGACGTCCTCTGCTTCCTGGAGGATGATATGGATCAGTATGTGGGGCAGGACGCCTTGGGCTTCTCTCCCTGGGGCAGCCTTGGTCCTCCTCACCACCAACAGTTTATTAAAGCACCTCTTTCCCCAACTCTTACCAACATCAAATATTATCAATCTTTTTACTATTTGTTAATCTGCTAGACAAAAAAAAAAAAAAGTGGTGTTGCATTATTTCAGTTTGCATTTCTCTGATGACCAGTGAAGCTGAAAAGTTTTTTTGTCTTTTTGTTAGTCTTTATATTTTTTATGAGTGGCCTATTAATAGATTTTTGATAAGTATTAGTTTGGAAGATGCAATGTAATCCCCCTCCCACCACTTCTCTCGCTACCTCTTTTTCCCTCCCTTATATAAGTCTATAATATTATCCAGTCAATTCTTGGTTTATTCAAAAGAATGGAGGGAAACAGATAATGCATAACTCAAAAGTTGAGAAAATCACAATGTGATTTATATTAGGATCTTAAATGTGTTTTTAGAAAGAGCGCAGATCTGGGAGTGAGCCATATCTGATTCACATCCTAGTCTGCCTCTGTCTAGCTGGGTTACTCTAGGGGTTTTACTTTCCTCCCTGAGCTCTGGTTTTCATAATGATAGAATGAGAATAATAACCTACTTTGCCTACTTGTGGTAATAAGATAAGATAATGTGTGTCAACCACCTGGGTGGAGCCTGGCACATAGTAAGTGGTTGTTATTGTTATAATGTTATTATAAACATTTGAGTATTGGAATTCTTCTAAAGTAGGGCTCCTCATTGTGAGTTTCTCAGTCCTATTCCTTATTCTTACCTCACTGCTATCTAAATCAGGCCACCTAGGCTTAGGTCCTCTTCCCTCTGCCTCCCAACTGAGCAGGGTGTTGTCCTCTTCAAGATTAAGGATTTGAATTTCAAGTCTGCAAATCCAGTAAATAGAAGAGGTGGAGGTAGTCCCGAACAGTGATTTAGGACTGAACAGGCTGTGTGTTAATAATGGGGCGGGAGATGTGAGCAAACCCAACACCAGAGATGGTGTCTCACTTTCCCCCAAGGGGTAAATTGTCAGAGCCTGTGATTAATCCACATTCAAGAACTGATTGGCGCCATGCTACCAGTTGAAATACTTTCAGTTGTAAGTGCCGGGGGCACTAAATAATGAGGAAAACTTATGTTGGGTCACAGGAAGTCTGGAGGCGGGGCAAGGCCAAGGTGGGTTCATTCAAGCAGTTCAACAACATCCTCCAGAACCCAGTTCTTCCCATCTCCTAAGACCAATGTCTGCAGCTTGTTGCTCCTCTCACACTGGCTGCCTCATGTCCCAACGGGGCTGCTGCAGAAAATTGCATCCAGAAGACAGACAGAAGATGTTTCTCTTCATGTGTCCATTTTAAAGAGTGAAGAATCCTTTCTTACAAGTCCCCCGACAGATTATTCCTAACATCACATTGGCCCAAATTGAATCATCACGTGCCTGCTGCTGAAAAAAATCAGTACCAGAACAGTGAAATTACTATTATTGATTTGGGCTGTGCTGAGGTTAGAGCGAGGCCTGGCCACTTCTGAAGCACGTGGCTTCCCAACACCTGAACAAAATTTAGGCAGGAAGAAAGGGATGGCTGTTCAAGAATGCGTGATGACGACGATGAACAGTGTGCACCACCGCCCATGTATTTATAAGGATTCATAAGATGTATTATTAAGATCCACTTTTAAATTAATATGCAAATCCTTCAATTAATCATGTAAAAATACTGACTTTGGAGTTTGCAACTTGGAAACTTAGCATTAGATAGGGAGGGCAGTAATATTTCCTGTCACTTTTAAAGCTGGGAGCATTGCTTATAAATAAACAGTCCAACTTTAAAAGGAATATGCTCTGAAGAATGATTATTCATAGTCAAGTCCCAAGACTTCGGCATGGAGTGAGTTTTGTATGGCCCTCTTGAGAGCTTGGGAGGGAAATCTCCTGGACAGGTGGGACCCCCATGCGACAGAGTGGGGGAGCAAAGATGGCCCTCCTGGAGTTGTGTCTGTGACAGAGGCCTGCCGTCCAGGTCACCCAGTGAGCCTCATACTAAACACCCAGAATATAAAGATATGGGGCTGGGGGCACAAGAGGAAGTATAGTTCCAGAAAATGAGCTCATTCGAAGACAGCCTTTAAAGTTGCCCAGGTCCCTGTGACCGGGAGGACCAAACTAAAGAAGTTCCTCCTGTTCACTTCTCTGTCCTTGCTCTCCAAAGGCATCTCATGCTGAAGAGGATAGATTTCAAATATAACAAGGCACAGACCGCCATGAGGGGCAAAACAACAAACACCTGGGTGCCAAGGCCCAAAGTGAGAAGGGTGTGAGCACATTCACAACCTAGAGCCACCATGACGTCTTCAGCTCTCAGATGCTTTTTGGGTCTGACTTTCTGGAATGAAGTACATTTCTGCTCACTTGGTTCTACTGTGTAGCCTGGGTCAGAAACTGAGTCTGGAAGAGGCAAAACCAGATTCAAGCACCAGGGCGCAGTTCGCTGGAGAGAGGCAGCCTGGAATATTGGTCTACGGGTGTGTTTTGGGGGGAGGTGGGGGAGGGGTGAGCATGTGTGCTTTAGGGAGCTCCATCTGGGCTGCATGCTAGAGCTACCCACCCACCCCATCCCACACCCAGACCAGTTAGATCAGAATCTCAGGGAGTGGGCAGAGGGTTGAAACTACCACCTAGAGTTCTTAGAAGTAGTCCCTAAGAATTTTGTTCAGAGTACCACCTTGGAGAATGTCATCAAGGGGTTCACTGCCCCTTCTACCTGTGCCCCTGACCCCAGATACCCTCTGTCTTGGAGATGCAAATCAAGAGGATGGGGCCCACAGCAGGCAAATTTCTCCTCCTCTGCTCTGTGACTGACCCAAGGCCCAAACGCGCGTACCCTCTTCCCTACAGCCCTGTGTGTCACATTGCTTTGGGGATCCGATGGGGGCAAGCTTTAATCGTCAGTTGTGATCTCCCTTGAGCAACAAAAATTTCTGTTAATATTACAGTAATTTGGAAAACTGATTGAACAAGAGATTAGTGCCAACTGTTGGGGGAGGAAAAAAATGACAGTTGTTAAAGCGTGAATCATATGAAAAAGGAAATATGCTCTTAGGAAATATTTTGAAGAAACCCATTTATTTGCACAACCTCTGAGTTGGAAATACTTCAGAGTCTGGGTTTACGTCTGGCCATTCCACATCCTGGCCCAGAAGCTTGGGCAAGTCATCTTACTTCCTTGATCCCTGGTTTCATCATCTGTGAAATGGGAAGAACAGTACCTCAGGATTGTTGTGAGGACCATGAGTGCTAATAACTCTTCACTTATGCGAGTCAAGGAGAAATGGACCAGGGCAGGATAATTCACAGAATCACTTTGGCGATGGCACAGCTCTGCAGGCTAATCCAAGACCAAAGCAGAAACCTCCCTCGACAGTGCCGGGCCCCTGGGAGCCTCCGCTGTGCAGAGGCTGACAGCGCACAGCGAGGGCTCTTTGTGCTGGGAGCTAGCCAAGATGGGCTTGTCCTGCTTTCCTTTGCTTCCCTCTTAGGAAAGAACAGAGCAAGCTCTGCTCTGTCACCTAAGCTGAATGACTCAGCCAGAGCTAAGTGATCATCTCCCAGAATTAATGTCATCCTCAGGGTCACCAGCCGACTTTCCAGTGCACCCTGGCCCTGTCCTATATCACTTGTGTAACCTTGGACCAGTACACTAACCTCTCTAAGTCTGGCTCCTCAGTCATCTGCAACATAAGTACGGCAGGCGCAGGATGGTTGTGAAGATTCAGGTCATTGAGATGGTGTGTAGAAGGCATTAGTGCAATGCCTGGAACATGGAAAGCACCCCACAAATGGTAACAATCGCTAATATTGGCTTATTGAAAGATGTGGGCTTAGCAGTTACTTTGTTAATCTAATTTGAGTAATCGCATACACTTTTAATATAATAAAGCTGTATTTATTTGGAAAGTACTCTAATTCATTCCCTCACTCTTCCAACTGGCCCTGCAACTCTATTAAATTAAAATTAGTGAGGTTTTTGTTATACGGATAGCTAAATGGGGTTCGCAGGCAGGCACTGCCCCCCAACAGTCTATGCCCCGCCCGCTGTTGTACGGCTGAAGTGACCTGCAAGTGACCTCCAACACCTTCCAGTCCTAAACCCCAGGATCCGTGGCTTCAGTCACTTCGTGAGCGTTCAGAGGTAAGGAAAGTTGTAGCACGAGTCACTCGCTTGCGCCCACCTGCACTGACTTTGCCATCCTTTCCTGCAGGCTGTAAAGCGGTTCTTGAAACAAGAGTGCAAGTGTCATGGAGTGAGCGGCTCGTGCACTCTGAGGACGTGCTGGCTGGCCATGGCCGACTTCAGAAAAACGGGCGATTATCTCTGGAGGAAGTACAATGGGGCCATCCAGGTTGTCATGAACCAGGATGGCACTGGTTTCACTGTGGCTAACAAGAAGTTTAAGAAGCCAACAAAAAATGACCTTGTGTATTTTGAGAATTCTCCAGACTACTGTATCAGGGACCGGGATGCAGGTAAGTTCAAAACACTTTATTCACAACTCCTAATTCTTCCAAGGACCAGTACTCCACAACTTAAATGTAGTTCTGTATTTTCAGCCTGCCAATTCTATAAGCGCAGCCTGCTGCCTTCGGGTTCAAAGCTCATGTTCTTATCAGTCGAATTTCAAGTGCACAGAGAGCTCTCTTAAGCAACTGGAGAAATGGGTTGATAATGTGCAGATTCTGCAGAAATGGGAACCCAACAAGAATGTATGTGGCAAAAAGTCAAAATATGCAGATTAGCAAAATTCTTCAGCCTGGACAGAACTCTAATTAGTGGACTAATGTACGCTATATATAGCAACCCAACATCTTTCCTGTGATCCTGAAGCTGAGAGGAGCACAGCTTTGCAATGTACCGGTCCCCCTTATAAATCCCACCTCAGTGACTGTGGAAGAGGGTGTCCTCGGGACTTTAAAATTAGCCTGTTCTGTAGTCTGCCATACCTCATTGTTTACTCTTTCCAGTAAGCTCAGAAATTGCCAAATACTAGGAAGCAAGAATTCATCCCCACTGGCTCGGCTGTTGGTGGGCAGTGGATGAGAGCTGTATAAGAGGCAGTTCCTTTATTAAAGCCACACCCTTCCCTTGCAGATGTCACCTCCTCCATCTTGAATTCACTCAGAGCCCGCCTCACCACAGCTGTTCCCACCTGTGTGTTGTATGCATGTGCTGTTCACCTCTCACCCCTCCTGGTCAGCACTGAACTCCAGGCTTAGCACAGTCTTTGCAAAGACTTTGGTACAAAGTAAGAATTTGTACAAGCCTCCATGTATAGGAGGTGTTGGGGAGTCCACAGCCAACTTTGACTCAAGCCAACTTGTCAGACTTAGTAGAAAGCAAGGGACTCCATTATCAGGAAAAACATCCTCGAATTTAAATTTTAAGTTTGTTTTTCATTCCAGACTAATTGCAAAAGAATAAGTAAAATAGTGCAGATGGCAGCCAGGTCCTCGCATGAGGTTGACCAAGAGTCACAATTACCAGGGAAGGTCACCAGAAGTCCAGAGCCTCTCTGTGTCCCCGAGTGGTTGACTTTCCTTCATGGTTTGATGAGCTAGTTCTTTGCAGCACTTTAGCAGGTTTGCACATGCAGCCTATGGATGAATACCTACTGAGCAAGAGGGCCACGTGCTGTGCCCTGCTGCATTCCTGGCATGCTTTGGGACCTCCAACAAGTCGTCCTGCCTGTCAGGCCACAGTATCGACCCAATTACCATGAAACCTGTGCTTTGATACAGGATTGTCCCAGAGGTCCGGCTCCCCTCTGCTGTTAACTAGCTGCTTAGCCTCAACCTCCTCACATAGGACATGTGGATATCAGTATCATTTTAGGAACTACATATTGACTCCTGTGAGCCAGGTACTGGGCTCCAATCACTGCATACTCGGTCTTATTCAAACCTCAGAGCCGCCCTATGACATCAGTGCGTTGGAACTGGTTACTGAAAAAAAAAAAGAATAAGAAAAGGGTGGCTCCTGGTTGATGAACACCAACCAAGAACCAAATTCACATCTTATTTTTTTAATTAATTAATTATTTTTTTTTTTTTTGAGGAAGATTAGCCCTGAGCTAACATCTGCTGCCAATCCTCCTCTTTTTGCTGAGGAAGACTGGCCCTGAGCTACCATCCGTGCCCATCTTCCTCCACTTTATATGTGGGACGCCTACCACAGCATGGCTTGCCAAGCAGTGCCATGTCCACACCTGGGATCCAAACCAGGGAACCCCAGGCCGCCGAAGCAGAACGTGTGCACTTAACTGCTGTGCCACCGGGCTGGCCCCTCGCATCTTATTTTTTGAAGTCAGATAAGCAGCCCTGGATATCATCATCCCAATTGTATGGGTGAGGAAAATGAATGACCAGCTCAAGATCTCATTGGCCTTGGAGGGGACGGAAGTCCAGCTGTCTGACCCCATGGCCTGTGCTCTTGACCCACTTGTCCCTGCCTATCTCCCAGGGCATGTATGTGAAAAGGCCTGTGAAGCAAAAACCTCATTTCAGATGTAGGAGGACCTGCTTCCCCAGGACATCTTTTCTGGTGTTTTGGATTGAAGCAGTTTGCACAGTGAAGTAAACAGTTATGCTTGATGACCATTTACAGCGTCATGAATATTCAATGACATAAAGCCTTTACTTTCTCTTCTCCACGGAGCAGATTCTGAACCTAATCCCTGATGCCTCTTCAGGATACTAGTTATTCTTGCACACTTGGCTTTTTCCACTCCCTGTATTAGAGCTCAATTCTGCTTCTTGATCCTAAACTAGCAACCATATCTGCAGTACCTGCCAGGCCTCAGGGCTTGATCTACTGTCTCTCGTTGATTCTCATGGGAAGTCTGTGAAGTGGGTACATTATTATCCCATCTTATGGGAGAGGAAACGGAGGCTCTGACAGACAGCTTACGGATTTTGCCCAAGGACTCTTGGTTGGTAAGAGGCAGAGCAGGGACTTGAACCTGAGCCTGTCCATCCTTTTAACCATTTTTCTCTGCCACCAGATGCACCAGGCACAAGGCACACCGCTGCAGATGTGGACTTTCTGAGGGAAGCTATATAATTTATTCACTCTCTTAAATTATTTCTATTCTCTTTTAGGCTCATTTTACCTTATATGACTGAAAAAGATGTGAATATAGTTCTTGGTTGGTGTTGATTAGGCAGGAGCCACCTTGTTTTTGTTTTTTTTTTAAATACCCAGGTCCAATGTATTCAATAAGATTTCGATTAAGATTCCTAGATTATTCATAAATTATCTGAATTGACTTAATGCCCATTTTAGCTGAGCCTAAGAAAATGCCAAAATCGTCCATGCAAACTTTGCAATATTTCTTTTTAATTCTGTTGGCCATCAGATGATTGTTTTAGTGAAAATATGATTCAGGGTGTTTGATATCATGTAGGCAAAAGTTCAGATGGTTGACAGAGGATTTTTTCCGTTCTTGGCATTTGGAGTAAGGTACAAATAGGCATGTGTATGGGATGCACATTTCCCTGAGAAAGCCTGCTTCCACCCACACAGCTGCTGAGGGCCTTGTAGTTGTCTGTGTGATCTATGGCCTTCTAAAGATGAGGCTTTAGCCTGGTCATTTTCTTCTAGAAACTTCTGTAGTATGCACCCTAGCAAGTTAGTCAAAACAGTCATAGATGTGTGTGGTTCAGAATCATCCTGCAGTAGCTCCTAACTTCTGTTTGTGGAGGGAGGGAGATGTGACAGAATCTGAGACCCCGCAAGAAGGGACGATCCCTGCCTCTAACTCACGGAGTGTTAATGTTTTTAATGGTTTCCAAGAAAGGATAAGCTCAAAAACTGATTAAGGAAGATATTCTTATGGCAACACCACCAAAGGACGTTTCCCTCTAGTCTTCAGTTGAAGAAAGTGAGTGCTCTGATGTTCGGCTATAAATACTCCCCTCAGATTTGAAGAGTACGTACAACTGTGTGATGCTGTGCATGTGACATTTTGCAGGCTAAATTGGAGGCTAGATCTCAGAACTGGGCTTTCTGCAGTGGGTATGCTTGTGGTTCTGTGGTTATCTACTCTGGTTATTGCCCCAGGCATCCGTAAATCAAAGAAGCCCTTAAGTTAGAGATAGGTTCATCTCTGACCAAGGAATGCCGCTCTCCTCTGCAGAGAAGCGTCTGCACCTAATCACAGGCCACTTTCACTGGTTATGATGTAAAAACCCTGACCCAGGCCAGAGGTCACCCCGAGGTCTCCTCATCAACAAGCAACCCTCCACCTCTTCTCCAGTCAAGTTCAAAAAACAAATGGAGTTCAACAGTCGCTTAACTCGTTGCCTGCTGAAAGCTGGATACCTGGCTGACAGCTGCAGGCTGGGAATGGTGTAAGCGCTCAGGTATCATGGGTTTTCCCACATAAATCACATTTAGCAAACAGCTCAGGACCCATGGGAACGCAATCCCAGCCATGGTTTACAGAGATTTACGTTTTAGACATGCCCTGTGGTATGGCCTGGTTTGCAGAACCTCTGAACGCTGTGATTGAGACCTGACTCAAAATACAGGAACAACATGTCGGCCAATAGCAATGGGTGGACTTGATTTTGATATTAACTGTACAGTTCCCACAAGTACATCTTAGGTCCCTCATTTCTTCATGAAACAAATATTGATTGAGCCCCTGCTATATGCCAAACACTGTGATAAGCCTCAGGAATGCAAAGTGAGGAAGACAGACTCAGCCCTTGTCCTCATGGCTTCATAGGCCTCCTAGTCCTTGTAGATGGGCCAGGTAGGCGATGGAACCCAGGCTGGGTGCTGAGTGACCCTGGAGCCCGAACAGGAAAGTGGTGTTTCTTAGGTTTCAGTCCTTACTCCATTGCTCTATCACAAGGTCTTACCTTATATTTGTCATTTTGAAAATTAAAGAATTTGTTATTCATTCCTTTCTGCATTGAGATTTGTTGTAGAAATTCAAGAACTGATATCTAAAAAGTGCTGACACTGCTAGACTAGGAGAGAATGATATGAAAAATGTATTGGTGAGGCTTATGTCATCATTTTCCTAGGCAATTATTGGTTATGTTGGATAATTAATATTAATTACTATCCAGTGGACCCTCTTTCTAAACTCTTTGTGGCGTATTGTGCAATTAGCCCATCCCGCCTTCCAAAATACTCTATTTCCTTGACCTCTGTAACACCACATTCTTCTGATTTTCCTCCTGCCCTAATAGCTGGTCTTTCTGAATTTCAGTGGTTAGCTTCTCCTCTTCTGTTTCTAAATTTTGAAGATCTTCAGGGCCCAATCCGGGCCCTCTTCTGCCTCTGTGCTTTCTCCCTGGGTGGTCTCCTCCATTGCTGTGGCTTTAACTGCTATCTCAGTCCACATCTGTGTCCTCTCTCTCATGTTGTATCCAACTCCCTGCTTAACAGCTCCGCTCGGATTGCTCAAATTTTTATCAACGTGCTTCTGTTCAAAACTGAATTGATTTGTCCCACTCCC